GTCTTTTTTTCTGTCGTTCTCACTCAAGTGACTGGCGAAGAAATGGGTGACCAAGGTTTTATTTCTTTTTGTGACCTCGGGAATCAAATTTCACTACCACGTTCAGAGCAACTCGTCCGTCATTTCAGCTAATGGGTACCGGTGAAAATTTCGCCCGGAGCCGACCACTAATGTTCATCTGGCGCCGAAGTTACGAGGGCACTTTCTCATGGCGTGGTACTTAGAAACAGATAAATTTAGGCGTTGGCATTTTAATGAACTCTACAGTACACAAACAGGGTCTACTTATCGACAAGCTGCACGTTTTTGTTGCGTATTTTACGACAATGTAAGTGTCTGTCGTGTTCGCATTGTATTCATTTTGTGTAGTGTCCTTTATTGCTTGTGTAGTTCTGTATGAGTGTGGTGTGTTATTGTAGTACACTGCCATCGCGTAAAAAACCCATTTGCAGTTTATATAAAATGATAATAACAATAATGACCGCCTCTATGGTCTAGTGGCTACAGATCCAGAGGTCCCGGGTTGGATTCCCGGCTCTACCAAATTTTCTGATAAATGGTGGGTCTGGAACGGGGTCCACTCAGCCTCGTAAGAATAATTACGAAATTATTTCAAGGAAATAGCGGCTCCGGTCTAGAAAACAGAGATTAACGGCCGTGGGGATTTGTTGCACTGACCACGCGACACCCTCTATCCGCTAAAGTTGGCACTAACTTCGCCGACAAGCGGCGGACGCTCGGTCGGTATAGATCGATTGCGGACTAACACCACGGAGTTTGTATAGTATTAATAATAATCTCAGAGACATCATAACGTCGAGTGTCAGGATGAGTGATGAGTTCGAAAAGAGGTACTATCCCGGTACATGCCCCTAGGGACTGAGGAAAAGGACGAAAAACCTCAGTCAGGATAGCCGATGCCTTTACCGAGATTCGAATCGAGCACCTCCCTAATACAAGTCTAATGTTGCGGTTAGACCAACACACTTCAAGACAAATTGCTGTGTTGCTTATGATTTCTTGTGAATTTCAGGTCGTCATCAGAATTACTTCGTAATATTATGCATCATTTCTGACTGGCAGTTTTCACATGTGTAAATAGTTTTCATCACAGAGATGTGAGTAGGTAAGAACAATTAGCGTGACGTGCTTAATGAACGCGGTCAGACGAGCACTGCACTGCCTCTCACTCAGAGCTTTCGACTGAAGAACACGAAACGATTTTCAAATTTCAAAAGATCGAGAGGACGCATTGTACGCACTTCTGGTACATACCCACGGGCCTTGTTATAAAAGGAGTTTCTTTCCTTGTATCAGTATAAATATTTGCTCTAAAAGGATCATATACATATGAAGCATAGGTACACAAACAAGAATTTTATTCTTAAAAATTAATTGAAATGTTTCCAGTTCAAATGCGATTAAAAATCAGCCACTAAATGTTTACTACGTTGTTGCATGCAATCATGGGTAATATTAATTCGATATTTTTCTTAAGTTCTTTATTGTGTGTTGTGTAAAATTAATAAAAACTATTCGGAATATGTAGTAAAGATGTAAGATTTGAGGTTTTCACGGCTGTGACTATGAAGAATGCCGTCTCCTGGGATGTGGAGTCGCGTAGATCTTGTGTGAACCGACGTTTCGGAGAAACTATCGCCTCCATCTTCAGGGTAGAAAAATCCGCGAGCGAGGAACCAGCGTGAGCAGGTGGCTGCGCCACATCCTAGAAGAGGCATTCTTCATGTAGCAAAGAATTTTCTGTGAAGTTACTCCTACAAAATTCCCCGACTTTCTTAAAGACGAAAAAAGAGTTAATATTGTATATTTTGGGGAATGAAAGCACAATTTCGCGGTCCTCACAAAACCTCGTGTCGCCGGTTTGAACTGTGCTAGTATAGGCAATGCAGCCTATTCTGACTTACCATACTTATTTCATTTTTTCCGAAAAACTTCCTGATCCCGGTGTCCTGTTTATTTATATTGTAAAATATTTCATTAGTCATTTTATTTTGTACTGAGTATATTTTCAGTTCTTTCCCAATTCTTCTCAGTAATTTAGTGATTTATTTCAGAATAAAAAAACTATTCGTCCAGGTTTCTGGAATGTTTGTAATAATCCACGATTATCCATGGGTTCCAGTACTGTACGTACTCAACTTAATGATTAATTCACTCCGAAGTTTTCCGTGTTAAGTCCAACAATGCTTACACACGATATATTTTTGATATATATTCATTTCAATGGCTAGCGAAAGCTAAAAATGTATGTACAACAAAAATGTATCATAATATACCATATTATAGTATATAAACCCTATTTGCCCCGTGATAATGCCCACAGAAGTAGAGTTAACAGAACTGTTTACATTAAAACAAACCGTACTTGCGTATCCATGGAACTCCATGGAATAGAGTCCATCTCGAAGAGCTAACAGCCACTCAGCTAGTCAAGAAAACTCCTGTCTTTCATGGAGCCTGGATTTGCAAAGATATACACAATGCCAGTAAATAAAACAAGTGCCTACACCGTAAATTAAAATAATCCAAAATAAGTCTTCATTGACACTACTTATAACATAACACTTATATAAGTGTGACGACAAATGAGTTAAGAAGCGTGGATAAATGTAGGTTTCTGCATTCGCAAAAAGTTCAGTTCATAGTTAAGTGAAAGTTAAAATTCCTGTTACAGAAACGTCAAGTCTTGATACTTAGATCTCCATGACTTTCACTATCAGAACTTCTTAAGACAAAAACATTTGCTCAGCGAAACATCAGTATCATTATAATCAAAGAACATTAACTTACTACGTGCTTCGACCTTATGACTTTATGTGTTTCCGAAGACTTGAAAGTTGAGTTCATTATAACATTGGACTTAAAGGATTACGTGACCGCCTCTGTGGTATACTGGTTAGAGTTCCTGGCTACAAATACAGAGATCCCGGGTTCGATTCCCGGCTCCACCAGATTTTCTGAGAAGTAGTTGGTCTGGAACGGGGTCCACTCAGCCTCGTGAGAATAACTGAGGAGCTATTTCAAGGAAATAGCGGCTCCGGTCTAGAAAACCGAAATTAACGGCCGTGGGATTCGTTGCGCTGACCACGCGACACTCTCTATCCGCTAAAGCTGGGACTAACTTCGCCGACAAGAGGCGGTCGCTCGGTCGGTGTAGTTCGCTTGCGGACTACAGGCCACGGAGTTTGANTTGTTAGGATTGCATTCCCGAAGCTCAATACTCAGGCACATTTTTCGAAATTTTAACTCCTAGTACCTTGTACCTACATTGCTTTTATTGTAAAACAACAAAAAACATCAAATAACATAATATTAAACATTTAAACTATTAAATATAAGTAAAGTAAAGAGGTAAAGTTGTCTCTGTGCTTCATTAATTAATCACTATGGCATGTAGACGTATGAGGGAGTGGAGGGATAGCTCCACCATTCTTGACCTCGGCACTAGATGAAGGTGAATGGTGTGCTTCACGCCCAGTCCGCTTTACCCCTCGGGAAAGAGCTCCCGGTTCGCTTTGGACAGGAGGCTGGGTGGACCCCAGAGCCGGTCTGAACGCTGTGAAGTAGAGCAAAATCTTTATCCTCTGTCGGGAATTGAACCTCGGCCGTCCAGCCTATCGCATAACCGAAATGTACTGTCTTCGCTCGCTCGGAAACCGGGATTATGGGTTCGAATCCCATACAAAGCATGACTGTTTGGTATGTGTGTGTAATTATTCTGTGCTTGTGTTGTCCTGTGTTTAGGTAGAGGCTTTGTGATTAGCTGATCCCTAGTCCAAGGAGCCCTACCGCCTGTAAAATGGTAATGAAACTGAAGAATTACACTCCAGGGACCAAGGGGGTTGTAGAACCAGTGTTGAGAAGCCAGACTTCACCGCTTGGTGACCACATAATTGTGACTTTCTAATGCCGTCATTACTGCGTTGTTTTATCGTTAATTGAGTTTCGCGTTTAGATTTGAAATAATGTTGCGGTAAAGGCCGCGCCATAACTCAAGCGGTTAGTCGCTGGCTTCCCACCGCGGCGGTCCGGGTTCGATCTCAGGTCTCGTCAAGTGGGATTTGTGGTGGACAAAGTGGCGCTGAGGCAGGTTTTCTCCGAGTACTTCGGTTTCCCCTGCCAATCTTCATTCCACCAATTGCTCCACAATCACCCTCACCTATCATCTGGGGCTGGTACAATAGGCCAGAAGCGGTCGCAGTACAAGGGACTTAGTCCCACCCCACTAGCAATAAAAAAAAAAGCGGTATAGAGATTGGTATTCGTGTACATTCTTGGTAGGTCCCAGGTTCGTATCTCTAGCAGCTATACTGACTACATACCTTCGTTGTTTCCACTATATATCCGGACGCATGAAAAGATACTGCTTTAAAATCAGGCGGGGAATTCATTGTCTGGCTGTGCGATAATTAGCTTCTTAAGAAGAACTCAACAAAATAGTACCCTCAGTAAGTTATGAACGCTTCCTTCTATGTCCTCTCCTACTCATATTTTAAAATTTCAGTAATTTCCCTGTAACAGGTCGTGAAGGCCCATAGGGTTGTGAGACGTCGAGGCTCCCATATTTTTCTAGACAATCGGCTCACAGATGGCGGTGAGGTTGTCAGCATTTTACCCCAGGAAGATTCCTGGTACTCATTTTTGTCAGAGGCTGAGTCGACCCAAAGACAATAATGCGGCTGGAAGGACTGGGACTCGAACTGCGACCTTCAGGCTTGTAGCATAGTGCCTCAACCAACTACCGCGTGCCCCATTTATAGAGACTATCTCCATAAACAAACCGGAATAGGCGGTATATTGACAAAAATAATTAGGAGTCCAAAGGCGAAATGTGGACATTGTTGAAACCTCGCTATAAGTCGAACGAATTTCATTGTTGTTTGGTAATTAGCAATGTTCTACCGAAAAACACTTGATTCTGTTCTCAAAGTAACGCTGTCAAGGTCAGTCGTACTTGAGAAGGTATGTGCAATATTTTTGCGTCTGTTTTAATAGCACGTGCGAGTGATAAGCATGCCACTGGTACACCCTCATATAAGTGCTTAAACGTAATAGTTTTCGGTTGTATCTATCAGCTGTCCTGAACTTTCATGTTTCTGTGCTGGATATAGTCTTGCCGTTTATAAACAGCTTGTTCGTTTTTGCAGTAAGATGAGCACACATTTGCATCACAACCAGGTAATTACGTAATTATTTTTGCAATGACTGACATTTTGTATTTCGAAACAGAGATTCGTTAAAGTCGTGTCTAACCTGAGGACAAGACGGGCTGGGTACAGTCGCTATTACAAAATATTGCATCCCGGACTCCATTATTTGCAGATATATACCGGCAGTTGGTTCCTCTGTTAATAATATACGCCCCCTGAACTATGAAGTTGACTCGTGCGTAGATTATTTAAAGATGCTGTATCAACTGCAGGAGTTTTTTTCTTTTTAAATTCGCTTAGTGAGGGGTGGGGGGTGGAGTCCAACTGGGTCCACTCGGCACGGCGGCCACTGGTTGGTCTATTGTAGCCTTCCCAGGGTGATTATGATGATGGAGAATTTGGTGGAATGAAGATTGGCAGGGGAAACCAAAATACTCGGAGAAAACCCGCCCCAGCGCCACTTTGTCCACCACAAATCCCACTTGACCAGCCCGGGATCGAACCGCGGTGGGAAGCCAGCAACTAACCGCTTGAGCTATGGCGTGACCAACTGAGGACTTACTTAATAAGTAATCAGATGAGAGGATGACTACGTAAAAGCGAAAAGTACTGGGAAGAAACTGTGATGACATACAAAGTTATTATCCAGGTACCCTCGTATGGGTCTGGGGAAAACCATGGAAAGACGCAGTCTAGTTGGTAGCAGTCTTGCAGATCTGTGGTTCAAATTTCTCTTCGGAGACCGGCCATCATGATAAAATTTTCATCATTTTTCTAAGTTCTTCTAGGTACAAACCGGCAGAATATCTCAAAGTAGGCCACGACCGCTTCCTTCCATATCCTTGACGCTTCATTATCATTATACCATTCCACGAAATGTAATCTGAGCAACTAACAGCGTCGTTAAATGAAAGGTAAAGGTGAAATCAATTAATTAATTAAGCACCACACCATGAATACATCTGGGGAAGTGTCGGCACTAGATGGATGTGTGTGGTCAGCTTCACGTCCCGGTCGTTTAACGCCTGGTACTCAGTTGGATAGAAGGTTGAGTGGGTCTGGAAGATGTGAAGAAAAAAAATTTGGACAACCGGTGACCTGTCCAAGATTCAAACTAAGAATAGAACCCAGCCACATTATCGCAACTTGCTTGGTCGTACATTATTTAAAGACAATATATCAACTTCCAGTGCTATTTATAGCATACGGCTGGAGGATCCCTCTGTGTGATGACGTGGAAAAGACCAAGAAAGAATAAGATATAACATGTTCTGACATTTTAAATGGAGTAATCTGGGAAGGTAACGTTTTCCTTGCGTCTATTTACATATCACATAATAAAGACGCATGGAGGAGTTGAGGTATAGCTCCACATATTAACTTCGGCACTAGGTGGAGATAAGTGTTCTCTTTTACATCCCATTGATTAATATCCGGGAGAAAAAGAGACTCTGATGTTCATTGGGTAAGAGGTTGGGTGGGCCTCAGGGTGGCTGTGATGAGGAAAATTCTTTTCCTGCTGACTCTAAACTCTGTCATACAGCCCTTAGATATTGTATTATTCTTGTACTGCCTGAAACATTTCAGCTCATTGTCTATGTGGGTAACCTCTCCCAAATACAATTTTGACACATAATAATGTAAAAGCAAATACACAACTGTTTCTGCTCTTAATGAAGAGCTACCACATGAAAATTTATTATAGCTCTATGCATTCTTAATGTTGGTACTAACTGGAGGTGCATTCAAGCCCTGGCTGCTCTATTGTCCTGGGAAAGAGCTTCTGATGTCTGACTGATAGGAGGCTGTGGTACTGCTAGGGTTGGTTTGGGGCTCTAGAGAAAATAAACATCTCTTGTCCCTGCTAGGAATCACACCCCGATTCCTGTGTCTAGTCTGCATCCCAGTCACTATATAGAATGAGTTATTCAGTAATATGCAAGATAACCTGCCCACTCTCTGTGCTATTATATTTTTATGTAATCTAGTTGCTAAAGGTTGTTTAGAAAATGTGGGCCTACATTAGTTCAGTGTTATCTAGGTTGTCCATTTCTCACTTTATTCAATGATGGATCTTTTCCAGTTGCATAAGTTATATTACTGTTGAATTAAAGTATGATTTTGAATTATGAACTAGAAAGAAAGTGGCCATGGTACACTTGAAGATACTCCTTCATCATTTGCCTGGAAAGACCAAGAAAATCATGAACTCCAGCTGAAACAGTTGAGCTACAGACACAGGATCGAACCTGATACCTCTGGAACATGAAGTGTTAGCCTCTAAACTATGACATAAGCTTTTCCTGGTTGAGTAAGCCCATAATATATTGTGGAATTACAACTCTTGCTTCTTTCCTTCCTACCACACATACAGAGGTAAATCTAAGTTAAATTTCCACAAATTCTTGACCTCTGTACCAGGTGAAGGTGTCAGTTTCATGCTCTGACCGCTTTTAATCTGATGTATCCACCGTGAAACATGAAGATGAGGTAACATTGTCTCTATGCTTAATTAAGCACTATGCCAGAGTGGAGGTATAACTCCACAAATCTTTAAACTCAGCACTAGATGGAGATGAGTGGTCTGCTTCATGCCATTTGGCTGCCTTATCTCTGGGGGAAGAGCCCCTAGTACCCACAGTGAATAGGAGGTTTGGTTGGCCAAACAGCCAGTCTGCACACTGTGAAGAAGAGAAAAATCTCCTGTTCCTACCAGGATTACAACCTTGCTTCCTTGGTTGTCCAACTTATATCCTAGTCATTACATTGAATGTAACTCCCCATATGCAGTGTACATAGAAGTTTGAAAACATTAGATTATAATGTTATATATCAGCATCCTGATACACTGTATAGCTCTGACTTTTGTGCCATCTATGTGCAACATTGTTCCCTATTCTTTCTTTGTATTCCTTTATTGGACACTACATGTTTCAACCTAACTGGCCATCTTCAGGTGTACAGGTTATGGTCAAGGATTCTCACTGTAATGCAGTTTTCTTTCCTCCTATTGTAGTTGCCTCTGGTTATTTTCAAGGAACGAAAACCATGTCACAGTGAGCAGCAGAATCCTTAATCATAACAACCTGTACATCTGAAGATGGCTAGTTAGGCTAAAATATTTAGTGTCCAATAAAGGAATATGAAGGAAGAATAGGGAAGGACATTGCACATAGATGCCACAAAAGCTCCAAAGTCACTGGATTATAAAACTAAGTTTATTTCTTACAGTATCGAAAGCTACAGCAATAGACAAGGAGTCGGTATGCCCACCCATGTCAGTCACATTGCCTATCTTCTCCCTTCCCTGCAAGACAAATAAAGATTGTGACATCGTGGGACAACTCTGCTGTAACGTTAATGGAAAGATGCGTTGCCAGAAAGGTGTACCAAAACCTGCTCCAAAACCAATACATACACGTAAGAATGTTCACAGATTAGAATGAGTAGTACATTCAGAAGAATTAGCTTGACAGTATAAACACCTGTCTACAGTAATTGAATAAACAGTGCACCTCTTTTTAAACCAGAAAATTTGAACTACTTCTGACATTTTAAAGCCAAGTTGACTCACACAACTGCACACATCAAGTAATGTTTTAAGAAGCTAAATTATGTTAATTTCCTTTATATCACAATCAGATGGTCAATTAATTAAATAACTAAACAGGCCAGAAGGATCTAACGGTAAACATTTGCTACCGAAATATCAGCTAGATTTTCCTGATTCTCCAGGTGACAATCAAGATTGTGGCCACAAACACCTACTTTCAGATAGTTCCTTACTCAGCGTTATCATCTTCCCTTTTCATTCTTTGTAGTTGAAGTAGCATCAGTAAATAATTTAAGAATAATTCACATTCAAATGAGCAAGAGTAAAAAAGAAAACTTGTGACTATGTCAGTTGCAAGTAATTTATTTTCACACAGACATACCAAAATACATAAGGAGCTTCTTACTAGACGTGGAGTCTTGTTTAGGAGGTACATCCACACATAAGCACAATAGACCACTGTAGGTCGTGGTGCAAGGGCCGAGAAGGCCCACCCCTTATACATTCATTCATACATCCACACATGATCAAGATTTGAATGAAATGTACATCTTGAAGCAGAAGAGAAGTTGGATTGCACCTGATTGGTTAACTTCCTACAGCCATGCCTCCTTAAACTTTCAACAGTAACTCTCAGGAAAAGCTGGTTAATATGCTAAGGGCAATTTTCACCCTTATATTAAACTGATGCCAGGATGGTGCAAGGGTTAATCTACACCTTGTCCAAGTAGGTTTTAAGTTTTCAGTTAATAAAAGGAAAAATGTAAGCTGATAAAGCAATCATATTCCATATGCCATTAAAATACAGATTAACAGAAAATACTGTGTTTCTTAGCGCTCTTGGGCTTCATTCCTAGAGAATGTCCAACCAACCCAGTAATTGAAATTCTGCCTGTGAAGAACTGCACAAATGATACAGACTGCTGGCCTCGTATCTGTTGTCCAGATGGCCAACACAGCTACTGCCGATCTACAGTGCCAGAGTGGGAGCGAGATCCTTCAGGATTTTATCGTGAGTTCAGCATTTTTCACCCAATACTCGACTCTGAGCTACATCTAATGTTTAATGCCTTCAAATATCTTTGTTCCAAAATATGCACAATTATGTGTCACTGCATTAATGAATTTCCATTATAAGTCAGCATTCAGTTTCCAACATTTTGTAAGCACAGTAGAAATTTAATGACACAAATGACCATACTTGTAACTTGTAACAATACAAAGTCATCTTGCCCCTTGACTAGGCATCACATTGTGAAGTCAAATATGGAGGACAGAAGTAAAGGCCCACATCTTTTGCCACTTGATTGAGGTAAATCTTCTGGTAAGAACTGTACTTAAAAATCACTTCAGAAACCTATATCCCCTTGGTGTGTTGCACTTCAATTTCAAAGATTCTGAATAGATGGTTTGTTCACCTTTCCCTGCTAAGACAATTTAAAATTCTTAAGAACATTTTTAAAGTCACTCTTAAACAGTGGGAGTCACATTTAATGTTTATACTATGTTATTTTATTATTGCTCAACTCTCATGCAAGGAAGACCTCAGATCAATAGTTAAACATCAACAAAAAATCAAATATACTACTACAAATTATGAAATTCTCATCTCACTACATATTTCTTTCACAGCATTGAGAAGCATGATTCCTTATCTCCAATGTACCCCTCCCCCACCACTGCTCTTTGATCTCTTCCCTAAACCTTGCAGAACTCCTATTGATTGCTTTCCGAACCTGTGCTGCCAGGAACAAGGCAAGAAATTCTGCCGACCACCCAAGAAGTCACTGCTAGCTTTGATTGCAACAGTTACACAGGTAAGCTCATGTACCTTGGCAAGAACATAGAAAGAATACGTAGTTTTGATCTGTTTCATCCTGGTCCACCATACTAACAATATTATAAAAGGTTAACTAATTCCCTTCAGTGCGACTGATGATTTTTTTTTCATCCTGGTCTGTCACACTAACAATACTATAAAAGGTTAATTAATAGTGGTTTCTAATTGTATTGATATCCTTATGAAGATGGTCTATAAGACCGAAACATTTTAAGAACAAAATATTAAAAAAAAAAAGCATCAGTCACACTGGACAGAATTAATTAACCTTTTATAAGGATATGTAGTTTTCAGTGACATGAAGTGCACAAATTGAATATTTTCAGAGAACTAAAGACTATTATTAAATTCAGTTTAAAACAAGGCGTGGCGTTGACTTCTTACTGTGGAAGCCTACATGCTATCCCAGGGCAGTTCACACCGGACACATGCTGCATAAAGTAACAGTGGCTATTCCCGAATATCTAGGCCTTTCCTTGCAAATCACTCCATTTGTCACAAATCTACCACCACTGTGAAAGTACCAGTCAACATGTTACCTAACCCCTCTTTAGTCAGGGCTTCAGTCCTTACCTGGTACTTTAGCATGAAAATAAGAACTTAACTTATTAAGCCAACTCTGCAACAAAACTGGCGACAGCCATGCTATTTCTTACAATCTGACTTGGGGTCATGCAGAAGATGATGACAGGTATAAAAACAGAACAATTAAAATTACATATAATTACATTCTTTTTAACCTTTACACAGAACTTCAGGTCGATACTGCAGAACACTTCCTGTGTATCTATTGAGGCACTCCATAGCCTCAACAACTGGAATTAACTAGATTATGACTATATCCGGTGTCCGGATGAAAGGTATCCAAAATGAAAAATTTATATCTCGTAAAGTAACTGTCATACACATATCTAGTTTGTCATCAGAAAGGAAAACCCTGTAAGTTTTTCCCATGGCGCATGCGCTGCCACATTAGGAATCACCTGGACAGAGTGATGGCTGGGAGATAGATCGGTAGAAGTGGATCAATCGCTTGGCCTCTTAGGTCGCCCGATTTGACCCCACTGAATTTTTTCTTGTCGGGTTATGTGAAGAACATTGTCTACCAGGTTAACATCAATGACCTGCAACACCTGAAAGCCCGCATAAAGGGACGCTGTGGCTACGGTAACACCAAACATGCTGGATCGTCTAGACATTTGTCATGCCACCAAGGGAGCCCACATTTCAATTTATTGAAATTATTATATATTTATTATATACACAGAAAAACTTTGATAGTTCCCTTTGTAGTGGTGTAACCCATAAATGTGTATAATAAAAGCTCTCTGAGATATAATTATTTCATTTTGGATACCTTTCATCTGGACACCCTGTATACATGGTGGCACATATGATAAGAACAAAACTGTTTAAATTTTTATTTCAGAGACTGGGACGAAGATAACCATCAATAAAAAATAAACAACCATCAGATTTATTTTAAGTTTTTATTTCTTCACTAAAGCCATTACATGAAAGAGTGATAATGTGAAATACATATTATATCAGCTTTAAATGATTGAAAAATACAACTTTTCTGCTGATGTTCCATGCTGATGTTGTACATCACTCTCTTCCATAAAGTCTTCAATGAAGAGTTACATACTGCTCAGTCCAACTGCAAAAGAAAAGTAAGGTGGAAATGTGCAATGTTTTGTTTACAATGGATACACTATTACTGTTACATTGTAATTTTTTGATACTAATAAAGGTTTTGTATATATTATTATACTATTTTCAATCACCATGTACCACGTAACTGTTAACCTGTTAATTAGATTACCATTACAGTATGCCACAGGTTCACTTAGTACACATCAATTCTCCACAAGATAACATCGGAAGTTTCTGTCACCTGCAGCAGCAACTGGTTGTACTACTTCCAATTAATACAGACAAAGTTAATAAGAAGAAAGCAGTCTTCTGGGATTTGGCACTGTGTATGTGTGGTGTTAACCGACGTTTCAGAGGAACGTATCGCCTCCATCTTCAGGGCAGANAAATTCATACATATGAAAGTTTAGTAGGATAGCAATCATGATTTACAAGACAAATGTTACTCTTTATGCTGTAAGGATGCATATCAGGTAGAGGAGCATTTCAGTTAACAGTACCTCTAATTCAAATACTGATTAACCAATTTCAATAAATTTAAACAGAAAATTACCTTCTTAAAACCAATATCATTAGCATATTCTCTGAAGCACTGTCGGCAGAGATTCAGGCCATATTTCCTAATTAAACCATGACCATTGGCACACGATCGACTGAAAAAGATTTGAATACATTATGAACCTCCACATATGAAAATATTAGTTTGAAAACAGGTTTCACAAAAAAAAAAAGTAAATTTGTCCCTGTGCTTAACTGATTAACCACTATGCCATGAAGGTGTATGGGGAAGTGGGTGTAGAGATCCACAATTTCTTGACCTCAGTGCTAGCTGGAGGTGAGTGGTCACCTTTAAGCCCCGGTACCAACTGAACAGGAGGTTGGATGGACCCTAGAACCGGTCTGGACATGGAGAACTGAAAATTCTTGACCCCTCGGTCGTCCAGCCAGTAGCTTCTCGCTATACCGACTGCGCTATCCCAGCTCTTCGAAAAAGATATTGTATTTTAAACCGTTCAGTAATACCTTGATAAAGCTGTGGTATAAGAACTCGGAGTTTATTAGAACTATTTCATATAGAAAATTTAATACATTATCATGTTACAATATACAACAATTATACCATAAATGGTTGTCACAATGTATGAGGTCCACGTGTTACGAAATAACTGTTTTAATAATTTTATTTTTAAGTTTATGTGCTTTGAACAAAACCTCACACGAGGGCAACGAATTATCTTCTGTGTGATTTCCGGGTCTCTGGTCGGAAAATTTCCACCCGAGTAAAAATCATGCGCGAAGAAATATTTTTTCGTTATGTTCAGATTCAATATACAACACACGTTGACTCATAACATGAGTAAACACTCATTACTCACCATGATCTGGATCCCTGGCCATATTTTCGTGGATGTGAATACCAAATATTCTGGAAACCCATCGCAAATCTCTTCTTATAACCACTACCACACTCCTCAAAACGCAAAATAATACACCTCACAAGGAACAAAAATCAACCTGACTACCCTTACCACCGGAAATGGCTGCTACCGCTGCTACGGCTGCTATCGCATCCTACGGAACGGAAGTTAATTGTAGGGTGTGATTTCCATTGGTGTTACAGTTCCGTATATCAAGGAGTACAAGCAGTACGAAAGGGTTTGACCAACGATGATTCATATCACTTTGATATCTACATATCGCTACATATTGATCATTGATCTACCTTTGAACGACAACTTGGAGGACTGCATCTGTCTAAGTAAGTCATGGAAACGTATCCTCTTCTATAAAAGTGCGTCTGAATCAATTATATATTTATTTATTTATTACAGCACAGGATCCGTGTTCTGTGAGGGGGGGGGATAACAGTTACCGCAATTGACCACAGTGGCTAGTAATATCGCCCTCGTGCTCATTCCTCCCACTTATTTTCAAATGAAGGTCAAGTACGGTCAAATAGGTGGGGTGCTTGGAGAGTGAGGGTCTTTTTTAATTTGTGGTATAGGAATTCTTGTGACGTGGAAATGGGTTTAAAATTCTGACTTGGCTCTAACTAGTTATGATAACCAAGGAAAACTTGCAATTAGGCATTTTACATTTCAAAATGCAGCGCTGGGCTTTCAGGTCAGCGCCGAAGTCGAAGTACAATTCTATGGGTCAAATTGAACAGTCACCAGAGGAGGCGGTATGTAATAGCTACATGTAATCCATTCTTTGCCGAGGTTTGTTTGTTGCACTGATTTAAGGTTACGTGGCTTCCCTGCCAAGCCTGTTGAGATAAAATGGGATGAGACCCACAACTACAGTAGTATGACTAAGGTTATGGGAGATATGTTAGGGACCACAAATGCCTAAGAGAGAAGATTGACCTAGAGGATGCACCCCTACTTAGGCACAACCCCAGGTAAACCTATGGAGAGTGGATAAAGCTTCATGCATTCTTAAGCATGGCACTAGGTTGAGCTGAGTGGTTAGTTTCACATTCTGCATGCTTCCCTCTTGGGGAAAGAGTTTCCAGGAGGCAGGAGGAATATATGCTTTTCACATTAATTCACACTATATCTGACATGCCAAACTCCTACATAGATTACAATTTTTGTTCAGTATTGCTCAAGTAAATCTTTGAACAAACACCATGGAGTGAGCTCTTATGTTGTCTGTGTTTGTCAGCCATAATCCTAAGCTCCTGCTATTGCATTAAACATTCAGTCGTGTTATTTTGTCTTGAAATGCCACATGAGGTTTACACATTGAAGTGAATGTCCATATATGGTAAAAAAGAGCGGTAAAGCTATCTCTAACAGGCCGTGAAGGCCCATAGGATTGTGAGACATCGAGGCTCCCACAGTTTCTCTAGATAATCAGTTCACAGATGATGATAAGGGTGTCAGCTCAGCATGCTGGCTGCCCTTTACCCCCAAGAAAGTTTGCTGGTCCTCATTTCTGTTAGACACTGAGTTGACCCTAGGTCCATAGGGTGGCTGGAAGCGATAGGTCAATTGAAAATAATCCACCTCATTGGGACTGGAACCTGTGACCTTCCGGCTTTTAGCATAGTACCCCAGCCAACTATGCTACCGTTTGCCCCCACCCATGTGTGGTACTCATATGTAACGTAAGGATGAGATTCTGACATAAACTTCAGGATATTACAGTTACAACTCAGAAAAGAAAACTGTTTATACAGGCAAGAATACATTTAGACAGATAAGGTCATTAAAGAATCAAATCAAAATGTTGAGTGACCATTGAAGTGAAATTGGATGGAACTGGCACTGTGCTTGAACACCTCTCATAACCTCTCAAAAGTCTCCTCAGACACCTTGCACAGGTGTCTGGTCTTTAAAGTTTCAAGTGTCAAGTTTTCTGTATTTCCAAAGAGCAACCTTAGCACATGAATATGAACACTTTGTGTATGAACAAGGAATGTATGCTTAACAACAGGGACCCTTTTCAGCATCTGCTTGATCTGTCTAAATTTATAACTTTTGTCCAGTTATAGTAGCAGAGTGATGAATCATTATTTAAGATGTAACATGATACATGTATAATTTCATGTTTTATTATGTCTTTCCAGAAGGTCCACTCGTCAAGCCGTGACACATGTTTGAACACTCACTATTTATATGGTTTGGGAAGAATCAGCAATAGAGGAATATTTATGCTGTGTGTCATGTTGATTTGTGTGGCCCTAACCTCACTTAGTGTATATGAACTACGTCATGCAGAATCAGACAGGGGATATGTTTTGCCACATCCAGAACAAGTTGTTGAGAAGGATTCAGTAAAGAAGCCAGGTTTTGCTGTTTATGGGAGAAATGTTAGTGTATATTATTTCGGATTTAAAACTGGAAATTCTTACTTATTCATTACGTTTTGTCTCTGTGATAATCTGATTGCCTTCATTTCCTTTATGACTGATATCCATTTTTCATCATTTGCCTTCTCTCACCATCTGTTTTGTTCTTACTTTCATAGATTATTCTTCACATCTTCTGTGGTTCTGTCCTGATTAAGCAGCACATTTCAAGTAACAAGATGCAACTTATTGACCTTATAACCTTTCCTTAGTTGGTTTCCTGAATTATCCAGCAGGCTTCCATCACTTGGTTTTTTAAGATGTATTATTTTCCAAGGTGACATTTGCCTCACACCGAACCCCGAACCTCTAAAGACCAAGAAATATTTTTGCTCATATCCCATACCATTAGGCTTGTCTGTGTGGAGCTTACAATCCCACTAACCTTGCTCTCTAGGTGAGGAGAGGGCTTGGAAATGTTCCTGTCAGGTTAAGATAGTAGTCCAAGAGAGGAATGGGACCATAATTTGGTCTGGTGATTGTAGCTCACAAAGGTAAAGTTGTCCCTCTGCTTAACTGATCAAGCACTACGCCATGAAGGCATATGGAGGAGTGGATGTGTAGACCCACATTTTCTTGACCTTGGCCCTAGCTGGAGGAGATTGGTCAGCTTCACACCGCAGCTGCTTTACCTCTGGTATGCATTGAATAGGAGGCTGGGTGGGTCCCCATGAAAGCTTGTATGGGCATTGTGGAGAAGAGAAAATCCTTGACCCTACTGGGACTTGAACTCCAACTGCTGGGTCATCCAGTCTGTAGCCCTTTGCTATACTGACTATGCTGCCTCTGCTCCTGGTGTTTTTAGCTCGTAGGTTTGTTATTAGTTTTGACCTGTTTGGTAGAATAACTACTTTTTTTTTTTGTATATATGAACCAAGCACATTAAAATAAATTTTGTAGAGGAATGTGGTTCAACCCTCTCTTAGGTCATTAAAAATTGCTATTGTAGGTAGGAAAGGACAAAAAGAAAGTTTCGCTCCCGAGGGTCTCTCAGGTAAATCCAGGTGTTACACAAAATGAGTACTTGTGCACAAATGTCTGTGATATGAATAGTCAGTTTTTTATGTTGCTTGTTAAAGTTAAAATTCCGATTTGTGAATTGTTTATATAGCATTTTGCAGCTGTACTACTTTCTTTAATTATTAGGCCCATAATATGTGATTCCACTGTTTCAGGTAGATGCTGGATATCTCAAGCATGTTTACCTTGTTTTCGAACGTTTGGGCTTTGAACGACGGAATGATTCTGACTGGGATGTTCTGTGGGCTCATATGTATCCTTTCCGTGTTTTATATTCCAGTCTTAAAAATCTCAAACCTCATCAAAAGGTATGATCCATCTTAATGTATCTTTACTTTTTGCATAGATTGTGCCTGCCTGTAGAATTAAGACTATTAATGCATATACTGAGATTTCTCCATCTCTGTTTGAAGCTTCAGTAAATATATACAAAAGATTTCTTTGAGGGATAAAATATTTGATCACTAGATTGAGGAAACCCTGAAGAGAAGGCATTTTAACACTAAAGTAATGGAATAGGCACTATGAACATTGAAAATTTAGTGACATAGATCTTTAAATTAAGAAATATTATGTGTGGTTTCCATTGGATTCATGATTGTCTTCATTAAAAATGTTAAATTATTTTAATTGTAATGCTGTTTTTAAGTGCTAAGTTGATTTATTTGTAAAAGTTATTTATTATTCTTCCTTTATTAATGAAAGACATTTAATAAATTTGGGAGCCATAAAGACAAAAGTTAATAGAATTATATATTGAGAGAGATAATCTAGAATTTCATGTATGAAACCTGATTATTTCTTCAGATGTTCAGTTTTACATGCCACCAATAAGAGCCATCTTGTGTGTCTGTGTGTGTGTGTGTGCCCATCGTATATATTTCTATATATATAAAATGAATTGGTGGGTAACATAGTAGGTTGAAGCACTATGCTACAAGTTAGAAGGTCACAGCTTCAAATCCCGATGAGGTCATTGAATTTTTCAATTGACCTAACCCTTCCAACTGCATTATGGCCCTGAGATGACTCAGTCCCTAACATAAATGAGTAACAGGAAAGATTCCTGGGAGGTAAAGGGTGACTGGCTCGTAAGGCTGGCAACCTCACCGCCATCTGTGAGCCGATTGTCTAGAAAATATGGGAGCCTTGACATCTCACAGCCCTATAGGCCTTCATGGCCTGTTACAGGGGTAGGTTTATTATATTATGAATAGGACAGGGGAAAGTCCAGTTACCTTCTGCCCTCTAAATAAGCATCTCTTTGGCTTATTTCTTGTCTTAATTGTATATGACTTTGATTCATGAATACAGATTCAGGTGGTCATAAAACTGTACATAAAATTGTTATATAGTTGTTGTAGGACATCAGGACAGTGTATGTCTTCTTTGTTGCCACAGTGCACCTCTAGTTCTGTGTGTAATGAAATGCACCCTGTTGCAGGTGAATCATTTCCCTGGATCAGGATATATCACACAGAAGGTTGATCTTGCCACTTCAGGCATTCCTTATATTCCAGTTGCTTTCAGGATCCCTGCCGACCTTGAGAAGCTCTTTGAGTATGTAAGTCAGTGATTGAGAATATTGCAGTTGATTTGTCACAGCAAATTTGCAGTATATTTATTTAAGTGAGAAGGCACGAGTATAATGTTCTTTGGAAGAAAAACAGGCTAGAGCTTCTATCAGTACTGTCCAAGCTGTTAGTAAGAGGACATAATTCTTGAAGTTTNTTTAGTTTACTTTTAATATGAATTGGAGCTTTATTATTGAATTATTGCACTCGTTTTTTTTATCTATCATATTGATTCTTCATATGCAAAAGAGTGACCATTATTTTAAGGTATGAACTGCAGTAGTAATGATTTGTTTCTGAAGCGGTGACTCTAGAAGTTAAATGTTAACATGAGAATAGTCATTGTGTTCATTATGTGTTCCAGAGAGATTATAATTGGAAGATGAATCTGAATTTATATAGATAAAGGTAAAAGTTGTCCCTTTGCACAGCTAAGCACTATGCTATGAAAATATGTGATGGAGTGAAGATACAGCTTCTCAGCTTCTCCCATTCTTACTGGATGGAGGTTATCAGTCAGCTTCAAACCCCTGGCACAGCAGACCCTGGTACCCATTGAGTAGGAGGCTGTGTGAGCCCCAGAGCCAGTCTGGACAGTGTGGAGGAAGGAAAACCTCTTTCCTGTGCAGGATTTTTTTTTATTTATTTGATTGCTAATTTACAATTTACTCTAGTGACAAGAGAGTAATAAGTAAATGTTCGGGCGTCGTAGTAGCTTGTGATTATCATCCACTGATGGGTCTTCATGCGTCGCCCAGATTAGGTCTTCTGGCCAGTGACGTTGGAGTCTTGTGTTCGCCAGAGGTTGGGCGGCGAATTATGTTCAGATTTGCAAAATCTCCCTCCCAGGATTAAGAAGGATTTTATGAAGAGAGAACCAAGAGTATGATTACATGTTTTTGAAATGTGTACCTTTAATGTTTCAGGCAAAAGTAAAACCTGAGGCATTATTTGTCCAGAAGAGTAATGACCATCGAGGTGTAACCATCACAAAGGTGAAGGACCTGAACCTGAAAGCAGAAGGTACATTTGTTCAGGAATATGTTGGTAGGCCCTTGCTTGTGGATGGACACAAATTTGACATCGGAGTGTACACAATTCAGACTTCCATAGATCCTCTGAGAGTGTACGCTTACAATGGAGATGTGATATTGAGGTAACTTGAATTGCGAATATCCCAGTGAAAGAAATGGAGCCAGTCCACATCATGACATAATTGTCTCCTGGCATGTTATTCCTTTTACTCTTGTAGAATGTTACCACCATTTCAGAGGGAGCAGCTGCCTCCTTCTTTAATGTAGATAATTAAATTGAGCATGGGAAAAATTGTTTGAATATAGGCTGGGATAGAGGACTTGAGTAAATCTGACATCATTTGGGTAAACATTCACCAAACTGCATGGCGTCACATTCCAAAAGACAGTAATCTTCATGGTCACCAGTGTAGGAACCTGATATCTTACAGTGAAGCCCCCATCTTGTGTTTTTAATGTAAAGTTTTCCCTCATTCAGTGTTCTGTTTCACTGAATTAGAGTAAATTTCTGTTACATCTACATTTCAGAGTTCTCTCATTTTAGTATACAAATCCTGTTCTCTGCCTTCACGCAGGGGTTTCATTATGTTATGAATGTGTCTTTAGTGTGTTGTCTTTTGTTTTTTCTCTTTGTTGGCCATTGTTTTAATTTGTATTGACTAGTTAGTAGTCTATATAAAATTTACATTTCTCATAAGTTTAACTACCCTGCCATGGAGATGGAGGCTGGAGAGTCCTTTGAAGGTTCCTAAATACCTGTCAGATTTCATGGTATCACATCCTAAAAGACAAAAATGTTTGTAGTAACCGAATGTTTATCTTATTGGCTTTTCTCAAGTATGCATGAATATGGTCATTTATGTGATAACAATTGCAGACACGAATCAAATTGGTTCTAAATTTTAACAAAGTCTTTTTAAACCACACTTGTAAATGAAATAAACTAATTGTAATAATTTATAAATATTTTAATGTATTCCTGCATGTTGCTGTAGTTGTTAAAAGATCAGATTTTATATTCATGGCTTTGTGATGATATTGTATGTATGTATCAATATTGACCAATCACATTGTAATAGTAGTTTCTGCCTGTATTGTTATATCCTTCTGAAGATGGTCTCTAAAACTGAAACATGTCAAGGACGAAAGATTAAAAAGGAGAGAGGAAAGAACATTTCATCAATCACACTGGATGGAGTTGACTTACTTACTCACTCACTCACTCATGGAGCTGAGCCCTTCTGGAGATGCCGCCACTTCTGCAGCTACTCAAGAATTTCCCAGCATTTTATGGAACCCGAAGGTTCATCACTGTGTTCACAAGAGCCCTCCACTGATCCCTATCCTGACAGATCTATCCAGTCCATACCATCCCATCCTATCTCTCTAAGATACATTTTAATATTGTCCACCCATCTATGCCTTGGTCTTCCCTTTGGTCTCTTTCCTTCTGGCTTTCCCACCAATATCCTATACACATTCCTCGTCTCCCCCATTCGTGCTACATGACCTGCCTACCTCATCCTCCTTGACTTAATCATTCTGATTATACTTGGAGAAGAGTACAAGTTATGAAGCTCCTCATTATGCAGTTTTGTCCAACCTCCTGTCACTTCATCCCTCTTTGGTCCAAATATTTTCCTCAACACACTGGACGGTGTTGACTAACCTTTTATAATATTGATAGTGTGATGGACCAGGATGAACCAAATCAAACTCAGTCATGAAATATTAATTTTGCTGAAAATGGTTCTAACAGTTTTGATTAAATTTCACCAATTTGTAGTGTTGATATTCCAAGATGAAACTGCATTGAAACATATTTCCCACAAAACAACAGACCACCCTCGGAGTACTCTATGAGCTGTTATCATGTACTAAAAATCATTTATATATAAAATAGAGATAAATTTTTCTGAAATATCTATTTTAGGATAGTAGAAGCTATGATCCATCAAAGCATGTGTGAGAAAGTGTGCAGTATTTTTGCACTGATATTTTTTTCTTTTATTTAAGATTCTGTCCAGAGAAATATTACCCATTGAATCCTGACGTGCTTGATAAGTATGTAGTGGGAGATGATTACCTCCCCACATGGGAAGTGCCCTCTCTGCGGAAATATTACATAGACTTGGGGTTTTCTATGAAAGAGTCACTCAATGCTCATTTAAGAGATATAGGTAAGTGTTTAATATTACAGTTTATAACAGATAGGTCTAGCAAGTTGTCTCAGGCGGTAATGTTCCTGACTTGTATTTAGGAGGTGCTTAGTTTGAATCTCAGCCAGGAAACAAAGTTTTTCATGGTTTTCTGCAGTTTATTCAGGCAAGTGCTTGACCATTGTTAAGCTGAAGACAGATCACTGAATAGTGTCTGCAGGCAGTCTCAGGATTTTTAAAACTTTCATTTGCATCACTTCTGTGGCTTGCCTATTTTCCAATAAGCCCTTTCTGGCAGGATGCTAGCATTTGGCGCTATAGCAGTAATCTGTATATGTCCAAGATATTTCTAAATGTAGCTCTATGCGCCGCCTAGTGGCAGAGGAAGAAACTGCTTGCTTAGTGTGCTTTCATAAAGAAAAGTTTTTGACTTTTGTCAAAGTGTAGTCTTAAAGGCCAAAACTCCTGTATGGTAGTTTGGACATAGCACCTGTAAATATGATTCTCATACGGAACGACTGGATTCATGTAACCAGCACGCTTCTTTCCTCATACACGCTGGATAACTGATAGTGTACTATTTCGGTGTTAATGAATTACACAGAACTGTTGTACATAATGAATAATGTAATAACTCTGTAACCTCACCAGTGAATTTTACTGTATAGGTAAAGATCCAAACAAAATGTGGGACCAAATAGATGATGCCTTAAGACACGCCTACTTGAAAACAGAACCATTGATGATTAAGTCTGCTTCCAATTATAGATCAAAGCGAAACTTTTTTGAAATGGTACGCTTTGATTTTGTTGTTGATGAGGACCTGAACGTTTATATAATGGAGGTAAGACAGGTTCACATTCTGCTCTGGCGTTACTGTAATCTGTTGTTATCGATTATTTTCATAATCACAATATTTTTTCATGTATGTACCTAAATACTTAATTAGGTCCATTACTTTTACATTTTGTGGGGCTGGAGTTTGATTTCCTGGTCCTACATTCCAGCATGCCAATTAAATTAACACAAATTGTATAATATAAAACTCGTATATTATAGAGTAACATTTTAATTACATGTATTTCATTGCTACTACTTCTAATTACTACTTTGATTCTTGATTTGCTGTACATACTTAAAATGAAAGTGCAGTAAGACCTCACTAATTTGGACACTTTGTCTAAAATAGTGAAAATCTGAATTATAGAAGAGCTACTGAAAATATGTTTAGGGACATTATAAAATGGAATTCACATGTCTTTTTAGGCAATACAACTTTATTTTTAAACTTAGGTTGCATATCATAAAATAAATTTGCTTGTCATAAAGTGTAAAAATGTAAGTTTTGACGTCAGTCTTAAGAACAGTTTAGGTAACCTACAGTCTTAGCATTATTGAGACCATGTTTAAAAGATTGACTTACTTTGTGTTCCTCTTTTTGTAGCGTTCTTTTTCTACAGCTTGCTGATTGTGGTATTGTGATCATCATGGTCATAATGCAAAGAAAATAAAACAGTTGTTTGAAATATCACAAAGTCCGAATTAGTGAGGTTTCACTGTGTTTTCATTATATGGGAAAGTTAACCTCACTGTTAATATTTATATTAATTTCCTTGTAAGGCTGTGCAATAGGTCAGCTGGTTAGGTGCTGGCTTCTCACTATGGAGTCTTGGCTTCAATCCTGGGTGAGTTCATGTGAGATTCAAGGTGGATGGTTCTGGAAACTGAAGCAGGTTCATCCCTCTGTTTCTTCAGTTTATTCCTCCTAATCATCAGTCTGTCATTGCTCCATATTCATCTGTCACCACTTCCTGAGGTGTGCAGTAACCCTGACCAGGCAGCGCACTATCACATCTTCTGCCTTATATAACTGGGGGCTTCAACTCTCTGAAATGGTACTAGGCTGGTTGCAGAGTAAGGTAGTTGTTTTTATTCCCTTGTAATGGATTTATCACTTGAATTGTATATTTTCATAGTATACTTAGGCTATTATTCTGGGTTGGATATGTGGACATAGATCATGACATGAAATTGTATGTTGCAGGCAAATATGTCTCCTAACTTGTCCTCACAACACTTCCCTCCTAACAGAATAATCTACGAACAAGTCCTATTCAACGTGTTGAGTCTTGTTGGAGTAGGACGAAGAATCCATGGAGATTCTCTTCGTCCAAGGTACTTACAGCTATATAAAATTGTTGTGATTGTGGTCGAGTGGTCATCTGGGTAGTCTTATTGGTGGATACCAACATTTCATGGGCACATGCTACTATTGGCCTTTGAGGTGAAAGCACCACGTTCCCCTGAAACACTGATATGCGCTTTCAGAACAACATGCTATCACCCCCAAAAAGACAGGCTTAACAGTCATTGCCATGAATCTCAAAAGTTATATAACTGTTCTGGTTTGGAAACTTGTGCAGACATTTAAAAGACCTAGAGTTTGGTACAGTTGTAAGGAATCTTTAGTCTTGGCTTGGGATCAGGCGTTTAGAGAAACCAATTACAAACCATTTTGTTAATGAATATCGAACTAGCAGTCTGTCATATTTCTAAAGCTAAATTGAACAAACTTAGAAAAGCAGATTTAATAATACAGTAATGTGTATTTGAGAAGTCACTGCACTCTTAAAGTTTTTGTCAGGGTATGGTACATGTATTTGTGGCTTTGCTGTGTCAAGGATATGATGCAAGATTTGTAAGAATTGAGTTCTATGGGATGGAAGGAGGATATTTGAATAAATGAAGAAGTGAGTGAAATTTTTTAAGTTCGAAACTACAGTTATGACTCAATTTGAGTCATATTTTGGCTATGGGCTAGAGCAGTTTTTCTCAACTGCTGGGCCACAACCTGATACCAGGCCCTGGCATCAATTATACCAGGTCCTCATCTTATAAAATATAATTTACCAGGCTGCAGTCTCACAAAGGTTGAGAACCCCTGGGCTAGAGAGTCAAGGAACTGAAATTAAGTTCCTGTTAGGGGCATAGAGTTCTCTGTTTTTTTTTTTTTTTTATCTGGACCAGCTCTGGGGCTCAACTGGCCTCATGTCCAGTGAGTACCATGTAGCTGACCACTCTTCTCTACCCTGTACCAAGGTTAATGTGTGGAGCTCTACCTCTACTTCTCATACTTCTTGATCATGTGATGCATAAATAAACACAGGACAGTTTTACCTTTACCTTTATGGTAATTTTTCTGTGTTTCTTATCAGGTCAAGAGATGAGGAAGTTATGCAGGTTGCAGAGAAGAACCTCATGGTGTTCCCATCTGTGTGCGCAAGGAAGCTTTGTCGCAGCAGTTGTGTGTCGCCTGATTGCCAGCTCTGCAAACCTTGTCTTACACCAGAGACCATGGATGTATTGAAGGCTGCTTACATGGAACACATTAACCGACAGGAATGCAAAAGAATCTTCCCTCCCCATATGGTGAGAACACTTAACATGTGTTGTTAAGGGAGCTTTAATCTAAATCTGTATTGTAAAATATGGTGATATTAAAATATTTTTTGCACAAAGTGGATGGAGTAGATGCATTTGTTTCATTGTTGAAGAGGTGTAACTAAAATTAGGTAAAGTGGGGGGTCATCAGTAACTGTAGTCAGTCAGGTTTAATTTACGTTTCGGTTGATTCAGCGTGAAGCTGAAATCAACTTTATTGATTTTCTAAAAATAATTGCTTATATTACAGATTCATATATGTTAGATTATGGATCTCATTAAGACCTGCAAATTTTACTTGAGACTTTTTCTATAATGTGAATATTTAATGAAATAATGGAAAAATAATCTGTACTTTCATCCTTGCGATGCTTCTAGTGTAATTGCAGCAATAGGTCAACATCTGTAATAAATGTGAAGCCCAGTGAGGTAATCAAAATAGCATAGCACGTATTTGGAAGAGATCAAGTAAATGACCTTAATATATTCTCACGTATTCTAAGCTAACTTCTGAGATTCCAAAACATGTTTTCTACTGGGGTACATGTTTTCCTGTTTTTTTTCCTGGTTTGCTGAATAACATACAAGGAACAGCCGCTGCCATCATCAGTGGAGGTGGTTGTTAATTCGTTAGGTTTCCACTCAGCCTCTGTTACTAATCAAGTGTCACTAGGATGGAGACTTTTTGTTTTTAATTGATTATACATATTGTCTTAATGTTGAACTGCACTAGATAGTAACAAACAAAACTATGTGTTCTATTAATCTGTTCCAGACTGAAGAAGATGCAAAGAAAAGCATCAGTCTAGAAGAATACTCACCAGAGAATCAGTTGATGTATCGGTGGTTCCAAGGGAAATGCCTCATTGATCGTACATGGTGTTGAGTCACTTCTGCATCCTTCTGTTGTGAAATGAGTTCTTTAAATGTCATACAGAGTAGCGGTATTTGGTTTGTGTTGTGATGTGGTGTAGGAAACGGTATTTATATTATGAACATTGGAGCCTCACTGTTATGTTCCATTCTGAACAGGGCTGTACACTTCCGGAGTTGGAGCATGGGCTGTTCAATAAATACACTGACTGGGCTAAGGATTTCATGACCAGTGTTCAGATCCTGGCAGGTCTGAGATTAACATTCATATGTGCTGTGGGGCCCACTGTGAATGTATGCAGTGCATTCGGGGGGGGGAGGGGGGCTTCCTGGAGGTAAAGTGGACATGAAGAACAAGAGTACTTACCAGCTTCATTTCTCATAATCATACTAGCTTTCCCACATTGTACTCTGTATATACCAGAAATGGAAACAGTGGGTTGAGGATGTATTCTACAGATGCAAATGTACGTTGTCAAACACCTTCATATTCTAGTAAGAAGTTTTGCTATTTCTGAAGTGTTAATGTCATAAAAATATGCAGTGGAACACTTGTTCCATGCTTCTCAATTTAAGCATTTCCCTCATTTAGTGTTCAAGTCAACAATCTGAGTGTTGAATTTCCTTCATTTTAAGATTTTCCTCATTCTAGTGTTCAAATCCACTGCGTCCCAAAGAAGCGTTATGTCGGAGTTTCAATCTATATTTTAAGAAAAATTTCATATTACAAAGTTTGTTTCACAGTAGTAATAATCTATATAGTGCTGTAAAGTAATTGACAGAGATTTAATGGCTAGAGTTTGATTTCTAGGAGGAACAGAGATTTATTCTTTACCACCATGGCATCCCATTGGGACCCACTCACCCCTCTCTCCGATGGCTACTGGGGAAAATTTTTTGGGTGTTAAAGCAGTCAAGAACATGAAGCTGATGGTTCATATCATTTAGTGCTGAGGTCTAGAATGTGTGGAGCTTGAAGTATGTGCCTCTCCTACTCCTTCATGGCACAGTGCTTAAGCGCATGCACAGCCACAACATTCTTAGCCTCTTGACAGCTAAGTTAAATTTATTTTGTGTTTTGGTGTTAATTTTTCAAATGTTATTCTGTACTGGTTCTGTTAAAACATCAGTGAGGTTTCACAGTAGACATTATGGGTGGAGGTTTAAAAATGTATAAAGAGAATTTTGTAAAGAAATCATGTGCATAATTTCCATCCATCCATTTGTCTGATACGGACGTTATTATACAAAGACATCTCACATTGTACAACAGTTACAATAGCATAAATAAAAAGAACTTAAGAGTGTGTCTGCTTTTAATGAACTACAGTGCAAACCAAATTATTTGCAATGACCATAAATTTTTATGTCTGATGTATGACAAAAATTGAGATTCCAGGTAGAAGAGATATTTGTTTTGTCTGTGGTCATAGTTTGTAAGTCACTGGAGCACAGTTTGCTGTATAGGTCATGCATTGGTGCTAATATATGAAGCTACAGTCTGAAGTCATCTTATGGTGATGTAGTCAATTTATATATGTCCATTTTAAGGCTCTATTTGGTGATTTTGTGAACCTTAGTATTTATTGCTGAATTTTATTATGAATTTAAACTTCAAGTGTGAGTATTTTAATTGCTNCATGGCCACTGACCACTTTTCACACTTGTCCTTTCGTCTTACCACTCTCATGCAGTTGTATGGAGATAAAGACAGCAGGTTCTTCTGTGATGTTTGTATTCATCTTGCTATGTTCTCCATTGTTTTCCTGTTTTTTTTTTTATCCATATCATATGTTCATGGACATCTGCATTTCTGCCACTCCTCAGTTACTCACTACGAAGATATATGTTAGTCACATTTTCCTCCATTCAACAAACTTATTCAAATTGCCATTAACTTAATGCTCAGTGGTTATTATATTTACTGCCTGCTTTAACATACTAAAACTGCATTCTGTGTACAGACTGTATTTGTACATTTCATATGAGTCTCAGAATAAACAGATGTTTGTTTCCCTAAACAGGATTAACTGATTAGTCTGTGTTGTGGAGATGTAATAAGTTTGTGAAGTNATGAATGCTCCACCGACTGAGCTATCGTGGCTCACCAGATTTATGTTTCATATGATTCTCACAATAAATGGGCAATTTTTCCCCATAAATAACCAGTTCTTTGTAGTGGAAATATAATGATTTCCTATGAGAAACGAATTGAATTTTTGTATATCAGAAGAAATTCGATCTTTAAAGTGTTAAATAAATTAACGGTCTAACCTTCCTTGTGTGAAACTGTTCTTGGAATCCCTGTCATTGACAACTTGTATGGTCAAATCTGATCATGATATCTGAGGTCTTTATGGTTGTGACTGTTAAAATTCCAGTCTTCTGGGAGATTTCTGTGAAATGTTGGTATGTGGCTCATCATAGAAGACCACAATCTGTACCCTAATCTTGATTGCTGAAATATTTATTCTAAAGATATTCTCTTGCTAGATTAAACTGACTTTTTTTTGCACACTTTACAGTTAATGAATATGAAAATATATATACAACAGTCGAGGGTGTGGAAGAGAGAGTCTTGAGGAGGGCTTTCCAAATTCAAACCCCTTGAGGGCCCGCATTGTGACTTATGTCCTACCTGTGATCTGCATTATAAAAGATTTTTCCCAATATGCTGATATAAATATCTGTCCTGCAATGATCAGATCTACAAGCACATACTTAAAAATAAAGTCAAGAAAACATTTAGAGGTAAGGTAAATTTGTCCCTATGCTTAACTAATTGAGCACTATACCATGAAGGTGTATGGGGGTTTGGCGGTATAGATCCACATTTTCTTGACCTCGACACTAGTTGGAGGTGAATGGTCAGGTTCACGCCTTGGCCACTCTACCCCTGGGAAAGAGCCCCTGGTACCAGTAGTATAAAAGGTTGGATGGACCCTATAGCCAGTCTGGATGACATGGAGAAGTGAAAATGCTTGAACTGTGACCTCTCGGTTTTTGAGCCTGTAGCCAGTTGCTATACCGACTGCACTATCCTGGCTCCTCAAAAAGAACACAATTATATTAGAAATTAACTGATGCCAGGTCAGTGGTGCTTAAAATCAGCCATTAATGATTTGCTAGACTGTATTAATATTGCATACTATCATGGTAAAGGTAAAAAGCAAAGTTGTGCCTGCCAATAATTAAAGCACCATGCCCTGAAGGGTGTGGTATATATCTATTGTTCTTGAGTTTGGCACTAGATAAAGTTGGGTCAGCTTCATGCCTCAGCCACTTTACTCCCAAGGAAAGAGCTTCTGGTACCCATTGTATAGGAGGTTGGGTGGGTCCCAGACCCAATCAGGATTTTGTGAAGGAAAGTCTCTTACCCCCACCAGGAATTGAACCCTGGCCATCCATCTCGTAGCCCATTGATATCCTCACTGAACTATCCCAGCTGTTTGTACTATCATGGATTCATACTTTCTATGGAATTTCTTAGTTGATGTGTGGAATTAGTGGAAGAATTAAACATAATATCTAGTAAGTACTTTTCTGTAAGATTTACAACATTTTATTAAAGAGGAGGAACACAAAAACACATATTTTGGGGAATGGAAGGATATTGTCTGAGACTATCAAAAGCCAGCTGGGGGGCCACATTAGTCAGAGAGATTTGGTGTAGAGAACAGCAAGTGAATGAGGGGTTCCAAAAGAAATGGGAGTACTATACTGAGCGTCTGCTTTGGTTGCAGACTTGATAGTTGCTAAAGCAAGTTGCATTGTAAGCAGTCCATCACACAATGTGCTGTAGTGTACTCAGTACTAGCAGCCTGCTAAGGGGAGTGATTTATGGTAAGGGGAAAGTTTCACAGATAAGACACTACACTCAATATCAAAATTTAAAGATTTCCTAGCTTACATTTTGACTCTTGTAAGTATTCATGTTTCCAAATAGGGGACCACAAATTGACAGGTAAGATAAATTTGTCAGACATCTCTGTTGATGATGATCATTACTTCTTTAGATCCTTCATTTCACTGTGTAATTTTCTCCATTTTTCTTTTGATAAATTTGGGACTGGTAGGTCAGTATTAAATGTAACATTCAATTTTGTCTCATATTTTTGAACTCTAACCCATAGTGGTACATAAAATTAAAATTGAACTACATTAAATTCCTCATGAACTGTTCAATATAAAAAACTATTTACATAATGTATAAATCTTTATAACATTTTGTTGAAAAATAATACAACATAATTAACTCCATGGAGTTGAGTCCTGGAGAAGGCAACAGTAGTTCAGTTACACAGGAACTTTGCAACATTTTATCATACTTGATGGTTTAACAACAATTTCACAAGAGCAGATTAATCCAGGCTATACCACCCATCCTGTTTCGCTAAAATCCATTTTAATATTATCATCCCACCTACTACTTTGTCTTCTAATGGTCTCTTCCTTCTGGCTTTCCCACCAGAACCCTGTATGTATTCCTATTCTCTCCCATGCATGCTACATGCCCTGCCTATTTTATCTTCTTTGACTTGATCATTTTATGTGCAAATAATACATTTTTTACACATGATCATTCCAAATTGGAATGCCTTTTTCTACTCTTCTTACATCCTTAAATTGTCAAGTTTCTTCAGGCTTTTTTTATTCTGAAACTGTAGTTTAGTTCAAATTCTGTAACTGCGCTGTATAAAAGGAAGAATTATTTGATACAAAAATGGCATGAATGATCAGTTAAAAAGAGTGGTTGAGAACGTGGTTGTGATCTATTTCAGAAAGCACAGTATTCTCCTAATTGTGTGGCTGATGGAACTGACTGTATGCTACTGTCATCTAAATCACGTTGCCCTTGCCCTGGAATGAGAGTGATATCGTGTGAAGCATACAACAGAGACAAATGGCGTAGATAACCTAGAATGTGAAATTTTTAGATCCAGTATGTTGAATTTACTAGTTGCATTGAATGAATATAGGTTGTTGTGATGAAGAAATCTTCTGCTCATTACATAACATAAGTATTCATGGAATGATGCTTAGTTAAGCGTAGGAAAGCTGTATAGGAAGCCTGAGGAAAATATATTAAAATTCAGAGGTGTTACCTATAATATCTGAGAGTATAACTTGATGAAGTCTAATTTTAATCGTTTCTTGCATCCTGTTGTGTGTTTAATCGATAGTAGAGTGAATTTACCGACTACACAACACGTTTTTTATTATCACATTATCACTACATGTTTCGACCTTAAGAGGTCATCTTCAGGTGTATGAACATGGCTGTGTAATTACATGCGGTCACATTCACTTTTCACTCATTCGACCCTGTATCTTATCCAGATTTACGCTAATATATTGAGTTCTTTTTATAAAACACAGGTTAAAATTATTATTCTAATTTAATTGTTAAAAGTTAAAAGATCGTGAATCGAAAAAACAAGTGAAAGTGTAACCAGTGACATGAATTGAACCTCGATTCACGAACTTTTAACTTTTAACAATTAAATTAGAATAATAATTTTTACCTGTGTTTTATAAATAGAACTCGATATATCAGTGAGCGTAAGTCTGGATAAGATACAGGGTCGAATGAGTGAAAAGTGAACGTGACCGCGTGTAATTATACAGCCGTGTTCATACACCTGAAGAAGAGCACTTAAGGTCGAAACATGTAGTGATAATGTGATAATAAAAACGTGTTGTGTAGTCGGTAAATTCACTCTACTATTGATGAAGGCTACTTTATGCAACGACGGTTTTTGTTACAAATCTAGAAATCAAACTGCTCGATGTACTAATTATTTCTTTGGGTTACACGGAAGAGAAAAAGAGTTTTATTTGACCTCGTTTTCTAAACTCAGCATTGACCTCTTACGGTGATAAGGACGGATTAACGTGGCTTTCGGCTTTTAGAAACACGTCTCAGTTTCAGAGTAGGTCATTGTTTTTACTGGAGTCGAGGTGTTCACGTTTGGAAATAATAATAGTAAAGTAATACATTATGACGTAAGTTTGGTGAAGTTTCTCTTTCCCTTTGTATAGCGTTTAATGTTACTTCACAAGAATTTCTTCTGTTTAACTTTTCTTACTTTCGAAAACTTCACAAGGATCATTACCTCAGTCGCGAGAAGAAGAAACTTGTGCAAAATTTTGATGTGTAAGGCTTGGAAGAACAGGGCACACATGTAAAAGCGATATTGAAAATTATTTTCATTGATATCCTGTTAATCGTATTGAAATTAGTCGGGGATTGGGCCAGTAACTTTACTGTTTCAGCGATGATGAGCCTTTGGGTTTACATGTGAGGAAGGAATTGAATTATATGGAAATTAATTTGTTGTTTTGTAATATATGTTTTTTTTTATTTGAAGTAGAATTAAATGACGACAATTAAAGTTGCATCTGTTCAAAACGTGCATTTAAAAGTAAGTAAAGGTATCCCTGTAACAGGCCGTGGAAGCCCATAGGGTTGTGAGATGTTGAGGTTCTCACATTTTCTAAACAATCGGCTCATAGATGGCGGTGAGGTTGTCAGCCTTACGCGTCAGCCGCCCTTTACTCTCAAGAACATTCCAAGAATATTCCTGGTACTCATTTCTGTTAGAGGCTGAGAAGAACCCAGGGCCTTCGTGCGGCTGAAAGGATTAGGTAAATTGAAAAAAATCCAATTACCTTATCGGGACTTGAACCCGCGACCTTCCGGCTTGTAGCATAGTGTCTCAACCAACTACGCTATCGCATGCAAAGCGTGCCTTTACCTTACAAAAATTTTGAATATCCTACATTGATTAATGTTTTTTCTACCTTCTGCCTGTGACTTGCTAATGAGTTAAAGAAGTGCTAATTAAGCGAAAATTTCGACGCTTTATACCACAGCCAGGCCTAGTCAAAACGCCATCCCTAAATATCCTGAAAGTTAGTCAGTCATTCAAGACCGCTTTCATAAACACTAGTAGATAGATCTGCCACGTTAACGTGTACTTTTTCTTCTGGATGTAAAAACACGCAGCAGAATTTCGTCGAAGAGGAGACCCAATTACAAAACACGTCAAAGTCTTGCAAAGAACAAAAATATGGTCGTGGATCCTGACAGAACCCGAAACCAAAATTACCTTTGCTGGTGAGGGCCAGCAGCATATCACCCGACCGACTGTAACATCTTTATATGACTTTGAACGATAACAGTTCCTCTTAATTATTCGATCAGCTTACCGTAGTTCGTTCTCAAATATACTAAAGGCATAACAACAAATAATAAATATATTGTCACGTGTATTAGTGACTATTGACGGGGTTTGGATTGGATGATTGGATTTATTAACACCTTATACAGTCAACTAGTATTTACAAGCAGTAGTGCGCTATTGCTGATTTACACAATTTGCAGTTCACCGTTACACACGCATTAGGGTTCTCAGTCATCGCTAGTCGTGTCCTGGTAACGGAATTAAGACACTCATTGTGATATTAAATCTTCTAATCAAGCACTAAGTCTTCACAGGCTGACTTATAATTCTTCTTCAACTATTACTTTCCCGTGGTTGTCTCCTACCGGAAACGTGTTTATCGAGCCGTTGCCTAGCGGTGGATCGATACGTCACAATATGATAAAGGATAGGGTGCTGTGATGTTCTGATACAACTGCATTACATCCATCTCTGTATAACATCATTAAAATCGTGTTAGTTACTGTTTCGTGAGCATGCTTATATGACCTAACGCATAAACTTTCTTCAGACGAAGTGATGGTTGATTGAAATTACAAATATTTGTTATGGCTGGCTGGTTCAGCAGCATTGGCATTGGCATTCACGCTTTATCTTCCCCATAGATTACATAACGTCGAAGGATTGGATGAATATTATTGCCGGAGACGAAACATATATTCGATAAGATACCTAACTCCATGCAGCTTAGCCCTTCTTGAGAAGCTGCCAGTTTTGCAGTTACTCAAGAATTTACCAACGTCTTATGGAACCCGAAGGTTCATTTCTGTGTTCACAAGAGTCCTCCACTGGTGCCTATCCTGAGTCAGATCAATCCAATCCATACTATCGCATCCTATCTCTCTAAGATCCATTTTAATATTGTCCCTCCACCTACATCTTGGTATTCCTAGTGGTCTCTTTTCTTCTGGCTTTCTCACAAATATTCTATATGCATTCCTCTTTTCCCCCATTCGTGCTACATGCATTGCCTATCCCATCATCCTTGACTTGATCATTCTAATTATACTTGGCGAAGAGTACAAGTTATGAAGCTCCTCATTACGCAATTTTCTCCAACCTCCTGTCACTTCATCTCTCTTCGGTCCAAATATTCTCCCCAACACCCTGTTCTCAGATACCCTCAGTCCGTGTTCCTCCCTTTATGTCAGAGACCAAGTTTCACACCCATACAGAACCATAGCAAAATTATTTATTTTCTTTCTTTCTCTATCTCTCTCTCTGTAGGGCAGTATACTCCTTTGGACTTTGGCCGCCTTTTCACTTTCTTAATCTTATACACAGTTGATAGGACTCCTTGGAAGGCCGCTACCTACACACAGAACAACACAAACACTGAATAAACGCACACAGACATCCATGCCTCGAGTGGGATTTCAACCCACGATCCCGGTAGTCCAGCGGGCGAAAATGGTTCACATCTGAGAACTTGCGGCCACTGTGATCAGCTGGGCAAAATTATAGTTTTGTATATTCTCATTTTTACGTTTCTAGACAATTTTCAATAAGATAGGAGTTGAAATTAAAATTTTAAATATTATCTATACTATTGTGTGTTTAAGATATGCTGTCGGTATTACTCCAATAACGAAGGAAAATTTCGACAACCTTGGTCATGGTAGCAGGCGTATTGAGCTAGATATCTCCAAGACAAAGCGGCTAACCGCCGTAATGCAGCCTTCAGTTTATTTTTGCTGCATTACGGCCTTTAGTAGAGCGTATGCCTAGTTATATTTGTTAGGCTGAGGGTGGCCAAGCTTACTGAACATCGGGGGCCACAAACAGGCGTGGATCGGATAGCTTAGGTGTTCAGCTGCAGACTTTCGGGGCAGCTGATTTTTGTTATATATATCTAATCCATTTGTAAAAGAGAGTTCGACTTATTTTTTTCCTCCAGCTTCATTAACGGTTCAAAATAGCTGCGTACGACTCGAGAACCATAGTTTAATCACATCTGCAGTAGATCCCTACACAATTCTTCTCTTCCCTAAGCCTAAAATTTAATTTTTAAATCAGAATGAGTCTCTTTTAATTCATACAGAAGGATGAAATGGATTGGGCATATAAAACGCATGGGAAAAATGATAAATATGTACAATAATTCAGATATGAAACCTTGGGACACCTGTATTTAGATGTGAGGATAATATTCAAGCGGATTTTAAGGATATGGATTGGATTCATATGGCTCAGGACACTGTTCAGTGGCTGAACTTTCAGTTGCTACAGTAGGAACGGTATTTCTTGAGTAACTGAGCAACCACCGATTTCTCAAAGACACTGCTGCACAGAGAGGTGGTAATTTCAAACCGCGCATGCGTATATTAGGTGCACGCAACACCAAGTTTCTGTCTACATTCATACCGTTAGTCTTCATTTCTTACAGAAGAGCGCACTGTATGATGGGAAAAAATAATAAACTAGAATATAGGCATAATATTTGTGCGCAACATTCGTACCTTTAGTCTTCTGGAAAGTGTCGTTTTCTGAAGTTCAGTTCTCTCAGGATTTCTGAGAGCTGAAGGATTATAGGCTACCCGTAATATCCCTGTATTTAAATATAATTTTTAAGGTAGAAGTAATTATAATTTTTAATGTATAGGGGACTTGGAATATGCTAAGGAACTGTTTTGGAAGAGATTGTGGACCTGTCGTCTGACAGATTACTGATGAATGAATGAATAGGGGACTTATAGGGACTTAAGGCTTCATACTTATAATATAGTCTTTTGGGTTATTGTATTGGAGAGGGTGGGTTTCCCCATGCACTTAGACCAACTGTTAGTCCATTGTGCGTCCCCCTATGATATTCTACCAGTCTCTATTCCCTACCGCTACTGGTGAGTGCCATCAGTCTCGACTCAGCCAGCGAGTTCGGCCTCTACTGGCTCAGCGGTATCTCGATGCTTCCCCCATCTACCAGAGGTGTTAGAGACTACTGTTGGGCGGGAAATGTCCTGAATTTGGCTCAGTGGTCCCCTTGGGACACGAGGTTCTTTTACGTGCCGTAAAGCTACGACACGGGACCCACGGCTTAAAGTCCCTCCCGGAGGACTTGTTCCCTGAATTTTTCCGCCGGGTTTGAACCCGCGTACCTTGAGTCACGAGGTGGGAACGTTACCCTTAGACTACGGAGGCCGCTGTCTTTTCGGTTATAATATCATATAGTCTGGTGCCATTTAACCTGAAGATGGAGACAGCAAATACCTCAGAAACTCTGATATCCACACACCAGACTACAAGGCGCTCTAATCCAGAAGACCACAAAATGAATCCTACGCCTGCTTCGATAAATTTCATTTGGTTCATCCTGGTTCGTCACACTAATAATTTTTATAAAAGGTTATCAAGTCCTTCCAGTGAAATTGATAAATGTTCTTTTCTCCTTTTTAATCTTTCATCCTTGATATGTTTCGGTCCGAGAGACCATCTTCAGAAGGATATATCGATACAAGCGGAAACTACTATTACAATGTGGTTGGTGTAATGTATTGATACTGACCAGTCACATTGTAATGGTAGTTTCCGCTTGTATCGATATATCCTTCTGAAGATGGTCTCTCGGACCGAAACATGTCAAGGATGAAAGATTAAAAAGGAGAAAAGAACATTTATCAGTCACACTGGACGGAGTTGATAACCTTTTATAAGAATCATACACAACGATGAGATTTTCAGTTTTGTAGAAGGCTCCATATATTCTCATGTTGGAATTCAGGTTGCGAGGTGTTCTGTGAATTTCTCACTCCAAGAAGTCACCCCCCATTCCTCCAATATTCACAGTCTCGATAAGCGCTCCAGACGCAAAGCGGGATCATGCTAAGACATTCCCACAGGTTGGAATAACACAAAATTATTGATTTTAGGCCTTAATGGTGGTTAATTATTTGATACTGTAGCGTGTAGACCCGTTAGTTATTCAACGACCGCGAGATAAGCAAATTTTCCAGAGCCGTTTCTAGGCAACGGCAACGGAAACACTTTTCCGCAGCAACAGACACGAACCTAACAACGCGGAGATACCTTCATACATAGGACGCGGTTCAAACCGACGACCGCCATGTCCTGGAGGCTGAAGACCACGCGACAGCGGTGACCAGCCTTGACATGTCACGTGTTACTCACTGTGTATTATCGCGCCGGACTCTGATAAATTCCACTTCCGTCTGAAGTTTCCTGCTTTCGGGAAAATGAGTCGGGCTGGAGGAGTTGTTTGTTCCGACGTCACAGAGAGCTTTGTTTTCATTTATTATAGAGCCAGCATTTGTGTAATTGGCCTGTAGTTTCCTGATATTACCGCCAGGTGTCATAATCATGTTCTGAATCAGAATAAACGTGTCCGTGTTGTCGTCATTAAGCAATGTGACAGTACAAATGTTATTTTCTGTGTTTAATAGCTACTTCCAGATGTACGTACGTGTATTATACCGTATTATGATAGCTTTGAAGGTGACAAATTCACTTGAGGATGATGTTTTATATGGAAATTTCTTTCGCATTTCGATATAAGTTGTCAGGAGACAGAAGTAATCATCATACAGGGAGATTACGATAAGTAGTGGTAATTATGGCTTGACTATGTTCATTACAAGTGAAGGAAATATGTAAAATTATCCCTGTACTTAAGCAATATGCCATGACGACTTATGGAAAAGTGGAGTTATAGCTCAATGGATTTTAACTTCGGCATTAGATGTAGGTGAGTGATTAGCTTCATGCCCCGGCCGCTTTACCTCCAGGTAAAGAGCTGCTGCTTCCCATTGGAGTGGAGGCTGGGCAGGTCCCAGAGCAGGTCTTGATGCTGTGGATAGGAGAAAAATCTCTTGCCTTTGCTGGGAATCGAAACACGGTTCCTCGGTCATCCAGCTTCTAGCCTAGTCACTGTACCGACTGAGCTATCGCACAGACCGTAATATTAAAACTATTTGGGTGGAGTAAAGGGTACTTAGCCGCTCACGGTAGCCGAGCGGTCTAAGGCATGTACTGTCTTCGCTCACTTGGAAACCGGGATCGTGGGTTCGAATCCCACTCTGGGCATGGATGTTTAGTTTGTGTGTGTGCGTTTTTCTGTGTTTGTGTACAGGTAGAGGCCTTGCGACGAGCTGATCACCCGCCCAAGGAGTCCTACCGAATGTGTAAGATCTAGAAAAACCGAAGTGAACGGAGAAGTTCATGGAGGTAGGCCTAGGCCCACTGGGGCTGTAGCGCCAAGGAATAAAAAAAAGGGTACTTAACCGTACACCCAGCTCACATACTGGAGAGCTACTGGTATTACCTGCGTAATGTGTACGCAACTTCTGATATTGTGTCTTCCAAAGGCGTGTATACGTTTTCTTTGGAAAGTGCAACTGATTGGTTGTAAGAGCTGCACATCTTCACTGACGCCATGATGCAAGAACTGCCGTGAAGTTAGCATCCTGATTCACGTGGGTCTAGCACCATGTACTTCGCTTGAAAGGCAAACCGATTTTCTCAGAAACTGCAAATAGACGAAACGTTTGTACCGTATATTCCTCCAGCGGCTAGACGTTGACTTTTCACCGCGGAGACACGGGTTCATTCTCACGTGTTTCATGTGAGATCCGTGATGGACGAAGTGGCACTGAAGTACATGTTTTCTCCTATTTTCTTCGGTTTTCCTGTGTTAATCATTATTCCACTATTGTTCTATACTCATCTCTCGCAGCCTTCTCAAGTGCGCGATAGCTTTGACCAGGTTACGGGGTAAGGATTTTAGGTTTCTATCTCATTACTATTTATAAAAGTGTCAATTTTTGGAGAGATAAAGGAGAGAAAGTTCGCGTTTCTCCGTGTGCGAAATCTGAGTTCTCACGGTGCTGATTGTGAATATTGTCTTCTGAGATGTGACGCCGTGTGGTCTCGTATATCGTTTCCAGCATTTCGGAGAAACGTGTTGTTATTTTGAAGCTGGAGGCAGCAGATATTTCCGAAATATTATTGACGATTTACCAAACTACGCAGCGTCATAATACTGTGACTCATGTGCCCATTGCTAAGCAACGGCTCTAAGAATACACTCAACAATAGGACATCCATTGCTACGTAACGGACCAATAAACACGCATTCTTGATAACAGAAGACGGTGTTTTCCGTGGAGTCTGTGCCGAGGGGTTATAAGAGGGTACAGTCAGTCGTAGTTCAGATCAGAACTGAAGGAGTACAACGGAGTACAACGAAGTTCAGTTGGAAGAAGATGACAATGTGTCAGATAGTGATTTGTGAACTATTGTAGCCAGTTATACGAGTATAAAGATCCAATAAATTCGATCATGAAATCCAAAACCCTTCTTATTAGCCACGAAAACCCCGTATACGTGACAATAGAGAACACAAGGATATTTAAAGACCTAATGTTTCTTCTTACAGATGATGTTGACACGACTGAATTGTGGACAAGCGCCGTTGTTGTACAAGGCAGTGGACGCTTCATAGGAGTGGGGGAAGTCTCCACCTACCGCTGGTAGTTTTTTTTTTCATGTTTACCAACACTTTCCTGTATTAGGACACTTCGTACGACCAGACCGAGGGGGGTCAAACTATGGACTGTAGATAACCGAGTGATTAGAACAAGTTCATAAAGTAGGGTCCATTTTGAAGTCAGTAACACTGGAGTTCAGGCGAGGAAAGCATATCCAATACAATATAACTCGCTTCATCATATGCATGAAAACATCATTAGAAACATTACAATCAATGAGAAGTTGTAATCGGTTATGTTCATATATCTTCGATAGAGAACATCATTCGTGTCTTATCAGAACATTTCAAATTCAACGCGTATGAGAAAGATATTAACTAGTCCTTATTCTAATATTACATATGAAAGAATCTCACTTCTGTGTGTGGCTTAAACAAAATATCGTCTCTTGTTGAAGAAACATGTCGAAACTGAATGAACTGAATTCAGCAAAGTTTTACGGAACAACTGCAATCAGGCCTACAATGGGTGAGGATGAACCTGCTCCCCGGCCATGTAAGTTGACATCTCTTTCTTTTAATGGTAATTTTAAAGTTAATTTCATCTGTAACATAGAATGAAATAATAATTTAAAATATCTTATATATTCTTAAAAAATGTGGCAGAATTTAAATATTTTGCAGTGACATTAAGGAATCAGAATTACATTAAAAACAAATTAAGATTGGATTACAACTGTGGGATGCTTGCCCCCATGAACATGCGGTTTTTTTGTCATCTCATATTCTGTTTATCATCATTATTATTATTATTATTATTATTATTATTATTATTATTATTATAATGATTATTAATGGGTTTTACCCGGTGGCAGCGGTACTACAGTAAGACACAACACACAAAATAACACCACACTCAACAAAACTACACTAACAATAAAGGACACACTACACACAATGAATACATTGCAAATACAATTATAACTACAATTATATAAATTACAACTACAATTATATCATTACAACTAACATCGAGGTAAAATGTACAAAATTATGGTTTAACCTGTTATTTTTGTATGTGGGGGAGGGGTGAAATTTGGTGTAATGCGTGAAGCGAACAGAATGAAAGGGTGTTTCAGAATAAGGTACTAAGGGGTCTATGTAGATCTTAGAGGGAGGAAGTAACAGGAGACTGAATGAAACTACGCAGTGAGAAACTAATCTTCACCATTCGTGCGATAAACTCAATGAGTATGATATGGACAGGTCATGTAGTACGTATGTGAGATATAAAAAAATTTTATTGGGAAAAACTGAATTTAATATTTAACTTTGAAGACTTGTGCATAGGTGCGACTATAATATTAGAATGAATCTTGAAGGAATGAAGTGCCTCAGGACATGGTCAAGCAGAAGACTCTTGTTGACACTATAATGAACACTCAGGTCCCATAAAATGGCATTTCTTGAGCAGCAGGGTGATATCAGCTACTCGTGAAGGATTCTGCTTATGAAGTTAGTCTTGTGTCTGCGTATTTGTATATGTGGGTGAGGAGCAGGGATACCTCAGTCGGTGTAGTGACGGACCATGAACTGGACGGCCTGGGTTTGATTCCCGGCAGGGGCAAGAGATTTTTCTTTCTTCGATAACGTCGAGACCGGCTCCTATCCGTGGGGTATCGGGGGCCCTTACCCCTGGGCGTAAAGCGGTTGAGACGTGAAGCTGATTACTTACGTCCATCTAGTGCTGGGTTCAAGAACGACGGAGCTATGCTCGTGTAGTCATTCCTCCATAAGTGTTTATGGTGTGGTGCTGATTGGTATGATGCGTATGTACAGTAGTAAGCCTCTGTGTACCACTTCGAGATTTCTACAGAAACGTTTCGAGATGTGGTAAGGCAGAAAGGCGGTGCTGTGCTCCATGGAATCTAATTTTGCATAAATTTGGAAGTTGCTTTCAATTTACCGTATTTACGCATGTATAGGCCGCGTGTGTGTATAGGTCGCAGCAGAATTTTCAGACAGAAATTATAGAAAAAATAATTTTCTTGGAATATTATTTCAGGAGTAGAACATTCTGTATTACTAATTATGAATATATATTTTTTTAAATGAAGTGTGATTTCGAATATTTCGAATATAAGCCGCACCCCAGTTTTCCTCTTGAATTTTTGGCAAAAAATATGCGGCCTATACATGCGTAATTACGGTAATGTTCACGGCGTCGAGTAGCCTACATAATTAAAATATTTTCCTCAACAGGAAGCACTGGGATTCTTGAAGGGGTTAGGGGGTCCATTTACAGGTTTCTATATACTGACACTTAACAATTTTAATCGGAAATTCGAGAGGCATTAATATAAGCAGTTCTGAGCTTTATGTATTTTATCTCAGTTTCAAGAAAATGAGTTTCCCATGAATGCATATTAAACGTAATGTAGTTAATAACTCGGCAGTTCGTTAATAGTAAACATTATACATAATTGGGCCGCGTCATAGCTGAAGCGGTTAGTCGCTGGCTTCCCACCTCGGCGGCCCGGGTTCGATCCCGGGTCTGGTCAAGTGGGATTTGTGGTGGACAAAGTGGCCCTGGGGCAGGTTTTCTCCTAGTACTTCGGTTTCTCCTGCCAATCTTCATTCCACCAATTGCTCCACAATCACCCTCACCTATCATCTGGGGCTGGTACAATAGGCCAGAAGTGGCTGCAGTACAAGGGACTCAGTCCCACCCCAATAGCAATAAAAAAAATTACATCCTTTCCTTTCGGACTTCCGGTATAGAAGGTGAAATCTTTGTGAACATATTTTGAAGTAACCTGTACCCAACATAAAGACCCGGGATAGCTCAGTCGGTATAGCGACTGGCTACGGGCTGGGCGACCGAGGGGTCAGAGTTCGAGTCCAGGTAGGGTTAAGAATTTTCTCTTCTCCACGACTCTGTGGTCCACGCAGCCTCCTATCCAGTGGGTACTGGGGGCTCTTTCCTCGCGGGTAAAGCGGCCGGAACGTGAAGCTGACCGAGGTAAAGAAAATGTGGGTCTATACATCCGCTCCCCCATATGCTTTCGTGGGGTAGTGCTTAATTAGTTCAGCACAGGGACAACTTTACCTTTTTACTTTTACTGTGCCTAATAATCTTAACTCGGCAATTTTGTTATCTTTTGCGTAACAGGCGAGTAAAAATGTAACTTTTCAGTGTTTCTCCGTAACATGCAATTTACAACGTACGAATACTATATACTTCTCTCTCGCGTGTTTTAGCTCCTTCCGCAAATATTAGAAGTTGTGGAGTTGGCCCGTTGATATTATTTTGTTCTTCACAATAATTGGACCCTTTTTAGGAAATAAGAAGGAACGCCTCATGTGGAGGTCATGTTTTTCCGTGATTTTATGGACCTATCGGAACCTGAACTGATTTTCACAAAATTCTATAAATCCGCGCGCGAGGAACCATCATAAGCAGGCGGCTACACCTGCTCACACTGGTTCCTCGCGGGCGGATTTTTATACCCTGAAGATGGAGATGATACGTTCCTCCGAAATGTCGGTTTACACAATATCTACACTGCGCCACATCTCAGAAAACGGCATTATTCATAGCCACCGCAGTGAAAACCTCAAAACTTACATAGTTAAACGGTTTAAAATTTAATTTTGGCTGCTCCCTTCATTCCGTTGGAGAAAACCGTGATGGCGCCCATGACTTTCTTCCATATCTCGTCTAGTTCATCATTCACACCGATAATGTCGCTTGAATTACCGTATTTACGCATGTATAGGCCGCACATTTTTTGCCAAAAATTCAAGAGGAAAACTGGGGTGCGGCTTATATTCGAAATATTCGAAATCACACTTCATTTAAAAAAAATTATATTCATAATTAGTAATACAGGGTGTTCTACTCCTGAAATAATATTCCAAGAAAATTATTTTTTCTATAATTTCTGTCTGAAAATTGTGCTGCGACCTATACACGCACGCGGCCTAACTACAGTTCAGACGCCTGTAAACACCACATCACCATAAGCTTATCATGTTATTACAGAATATGAAATTAAGTTGAACTTGTGGGCTTTCTGTAGCAGATACGTGGGTCCGTGCTTATCGTAGTTTGTGCTAACAACACCGCTCTTCTTGCGTGCTAACACAGTGACAGAGTGCGCTCAATATTACCATAGAGGGCTTTCCTAACGTAATAATTTAACTCTTTATAGCAGAATGGTAAATATACGTACCACGTGACTTAACATTCGACAACTCTGTCTTTTTCCAATACACCGAGTTGTGTATTAACGTACTAAATATGATTCTCAGAGGAACTGCTAGTTTTATTTCCGCAAAGGTTATTAACCTGCTCATGTTTAAAGGTCAAATGTATTTTCTGTGAGGCAGAAACTGAATTGTTGATTTTACTTAGATGAATTTTATGCTTCGAAGAACTAATTCACAGTGGTATATATGTGGTATGCGGTACTATAGTTGGTTGAGGCATTATGATACAAATCGGAAGGTCGTGGTTTCGATTCCCGATGTGGTCAGTGGATTTATCAATTGGCCTAATCCTTCTAGCCGCACTGTGGCCCCTGGGATCGACTCAGTTTCTAACAGAAATGAGTACCAGAAATTTTCCTGGGGGTATAGGGCGGCCGGCCGGCGCGTAAGGCTGACAACCTCACCGCCATCTGTGAACCGATGTGAGAGCCTCGACGTCTCACACCCCTATGGACCTCCACGGCCTGTTGTAGGGCTAGCTTTACCTTTACTTTTTAATTACCTCGACACCGCACAGGCGCAAGAGGAGCAGATTAAGAAAGAAAGAAATAAAAAGCGCGATGTTTAATTACACCCAATGGAATGGGTTATGGCAGTGGTTCTCAAACTTTTTACCTCTGAGCCCCCTGAGAAGATAAAATACTCTCAGGCCCCCAGCCTGTTTTTTTTTATCAAAATAGAAGTCATGGTATGTTTGACGTTTCATTCAGTTTATTTTGTTTTTCTACACACTATTTAGCAGTTTTGTTACTTAAAATTAAAGTATCACAATACTAGGCCTACAATAAAAATTAGTTTTAACACTTGCAATTAACCAAAATATGTACTGAAATGAAAGGATATTTAACTAACAAGTATTTAATTTTTTTCTGCAAAAAAAAAAATCAAACATTTAAATGTCAAAGTTCGGTGTGATGGATGGGCCTGCTTCAGAGAACAAAGTTTATCAAAACGTGGAGTAATATCAGAAATGGCCACTCTAACTTCTTTAGCAATATTTAGCCTTGAACGATACTTTGACTTTATAGCTGCCAAAGCAGAAAAGCCTGTCTCGCATAAGTAAGTTGTTGTGAAAGGAATCAGGATTTTCAGTGCTTTTTGGCTCAAAGTTTGGAATTCGTGCCAATATGTATCAGAACTCCAGCAAAGACATTTCCTTAAATTTACTTTTTAATGAAGTATCACTTGTGAGATCGATGAGTTGTTCTTGCTCATTTACCTTCAGAGATGATGGCCCAGGAGCATTTTTGAATGGATTTTTAATCCAATTAAATTTGTCAAAAC